GGTCTTCCTCTTCATTCTCTCTCTTGAATCTCTATGTTTTTATCATTGGATCCGGGGACCAAAATACTTCTTTGATTTTGAGAAATATTTAAGCCAAAGAGCCTCATATAGAATTTTTTTTTTTTTTAAGTCATTTAGTGGGGAAGATAGACCCTACCTGTATTTTCAGATAGATCAAGGAGTATCTTTTTTTGAAGGCGTAAGCTCGTGCCTTATAAAGAATAAGGTTATGAATCATCATCATTGTTGTTTGAACCTTATATAAATTATTTGGGATTTGGCTATATAAATCATGTTTTGTCGTTATGCTCTATCAAGGGTCATACCTTTAGTCTAACCATATCTCCTATTGTTATTTTTATCTATATCCTTTTGAGTCTTCTCCTTACCTTTTTAGAATATTTCACTTGAACCAAATCAACCCTCCGAAGTGGTTTTCGTTCTATATCGACGTTGTGCATGGCCAGACCACCCAAGTCTACTTTCCCTCATCTTATCGCTCTAATCATCTTATCGCATATTAGAGCCACCCCCAAGTTTCCTCTGATGTATTCAATCTGAATTCTATCATTTATTGTCTATGAATCAATCCATGAATATATTTAGAAAAGGATCTAAAATTATTACCTCTATAAATTTTCTAAGATACCAAGACTCATTGTGAGGTGGCAAATGATGAATCAGGGCCAGGGTGCCTAGAGAGAGGGAAGACACAAAGCTGGAGTTGCTAGTGTCCTGGTCTATCGAACCTAGACCTGACCCTTTAGGTCCAAGTCCTGAACTAAGACTTTGTCATATAAAATGGTAGTTTATATGACAAAGTCCCAGTATTTCCTTTGCCTTCCAAGCCTTACATATAACAAAAGTGCTCTTAGGCGTAAGATAAAGAAAGGGAAAATTACAAATAACCCCCAAACCAGTCTTTCTATGCAAGTTATCCCCAACCGAACTTTTTTGTCTCACTTTTTATCCTAAAATATATTTTCTTAACAAATAACCGGTAAATAATAGTGGCGGTCTGGCAATACAAGTGTCGGTTTGGCACTGATAACGAACTGTTCGGCAATGTTAAAGAGCAGTCCAGTACTTTCTTTAGTTTAACGGGTTCCAGCAATGTCAAAGAGCGGTTCAGCAGCCCATGCGCCGAAATTAAATTTTTAAGTATGCAAAAAGGTATTTTCATAAAAAAATGTACTTTTTTTTTACTTGGGGGTATTTGTTAAAAAGAATGTATTTGGAAAAAAAAATGAGAAAATAGATTTAGTTGGGCGTAACTTGCATAAAAAAATAATGCTCGGTCATTTGTAATTTTTGTATGAAAGAAAATTCAAGTTTAACCTAACGAGTCAACCTTTCTACATAGAATCTTTAGAAGTTTGACGAGTGATAACCATAGAAAAATTTGCACACCCACTCATACCTAGGCTAGACTTGGATCGGCGGATCCAAAACCACTTCGGTACAACTCCGTTGGACCTAATTTCAAACCCAAACCCTCCATCAACGTGACCACTTTTGCAGTCTACATCTAGGTGAAGTTACAAGTAGGGTTGGCAATGGACATAGACCCAACCTTGTCCACATATGGGTCCAAAAATTGGATCCGGTGGGTCAGGTCCAATAGGGTTAGGTCGGGTCCAGGTGGGTCCGGGTCCCATATTGTATTTTTGTGGTCCAGGTCCAGCTGGATCCAAACCCGATGGAAGGGGTGTTTTCGTCATTTTGTGTGAACATGGGCAATTTCGTCATTTCCAAAAAACAAACATCCTACGCGAACCGAACACGGAGATTCACTTGACGAGTGCGGAAGAAGTTTCCGTGATGCATATCACAAAGGGACTTGACTTTATTTAATCGTTGACGGAGTTACAAAAAATCATTTAATAAATAAAAAAACACAAAGAGGAGTTTTAAAGGGAGCTTTCAACTGCTTCCTCCACACCCCTTACCAAAAAAAATCTTGCTTAGGACTCTTTCTCTCTAACTAAATGCTCTCTTCTATTTAAGAGCCCCACAACCGAGCTCTCATGTATCTCCCTCTCACTTTCTCTCTCTAAAGAGTGCAAGAACAATGGCCATGAACCCATCTCAAGCCTACCCAACTTTCTCTCTCTTCTTCATGGTTGCCTCCTTTCTCTCTCTTCTTCTTGCATCGGCTTCAAGCTCGGTTTTTATGTTTTGCACCTGCAATTTGATCATCTCAATCCTTCTCATAAGCTCTCAACCTGAATCCCCAACCCCATGTTTTGAGGAGAGAGAAAGTGCAATGCCGGAGCATAAAATTGGAGATGAAGAAGAGACAGGATCAAATATCGTCAAGAAACAAGATGAAGAAGAGAGAGGAGATGAAAGAGAAAGTGCAATGCCGGAGCATAAAATTGGAGATGAAGAAGAGACAGGATCAAATATCGTCAAGAAACAAGATGAAGAAGAGAGAGGAGATGAAGACAGCAAGGGAGTGGCGGAACTGAACCGACGAGTCGAGGCATTCATAGCGAAGTTTAATAGAGAAATGATACTGGAGAACGAGAGAGAGAGACTACAGCAGCCTCTTCTCCTTTGTTGAGTCGTCGGGAAATTATTGGACCTGGCAGAGTTGGCTAGAAAAGTATATTTTCCAGCAATTGTGTGGCTGTATACTTACTACCCTTGATTTGTAAAACTGCACGTTAGACTTGTGGAACTTTTCATGCCAAAACTCATGTTTTCCGGCAGTTGTTTCTCGCTGGAAATTGGCTTGGCAGTTCGCGATTTTGAAGGGAACCCCAAGTGCAGGCTGATTAAAAGAGATTAGTGTTATTTCATATTTTGGAGTATTTTTTGAGAAGCTGTATCTATCTCTGGGACATGAAAAAATAAATCTTATTATCATGCTTCTTTTGGTGAATGATAGTACACACTCGCTTTCTCTAAAAACCTAGCCATTACTGAACCAGTTGAGATCAGGTTAGTTGAATCAATCTATTGCAATGGACTGCAATTACAAAACATAAAGATGGTTCTCTGAGCCGTTGCCTACAAACTGCCATTCTTGGGAATAACAAAAACATTCCCATTAACCGGTGACTACCCCCTCTCTCTTCTCTCTCGTTGATCACATAGTGCCATGTACAAAGGAATCACACCTCTCTCTCATTATCTGGTCCTCTCACTAAAACGTTGCGGGTCCAGGTCTGGACCCGGATCCCGTTTAGTTGAATCAACTGGTCACACTAAAGTAAAAAGACGGACAAAAACAAAAAGTTTTTAAGCAGAAAAGCGTGGTCATTTTAACTACTGGTCCTACTGATCTGGGCATATTAATTGGGTTCTTCATCTTTAGAATGGGTGGGCCATTTCTTGTTGGTTCGTGTCCAATATGCCGGTCGGTCTTTATGTCACACCATTGAGCAAACTTTCCACCAATGACTGAGATATTCAAAGGCATGTTTGGAGATAGTGACAAGGCTGTGGTCCTAAGCTTATCTTCTTGACCACCCAGCTTGGCCTTTTAAAGTGGATATATCATTGTAACTGAGATTTTGGAAAATACTGAAATATATGTTGTACGAGGAAACTCTAAATCCGATAAGTTAATTTTTGACAAATAAAGTATGAGAAATGAAGCAAAAAACACATACCACAAGAACACAAATATTTACGTGGTTCACTTTAGAAGGGCTACATCTATGGACACAACAAACTGAAATCCACTATACCATCATAGATTTTAGACATAGAGTTATCCCTCTAACCTCGACAAAAACTTAAGTCAAGAAACCACTCTCCCTTCCTACTATCCTCTTATTCTCTTTACTTCTGACAATCATTACCGACAACAACAGATAAAAAATCGAGAGTAACGAGAAACTGACTCTCTCTCTAACTAAAAAGGAAAACTACCCAAAATCTCAATGGGAATCACTTACCTATAATAAATAAACCTCTCAATCTTCAGGAGTCTAAAAGAATCACTATCACAATGTTTCTCTCCATAAGAAGTTTTATTCTCTTTAAGAAGAAACCTTGCATCTTATGCATAGGAGGCATTGCCTCCTTCTTTCTCTAGAGGAACCAACATTCCCATATGATGATCTAAATATGACACACAAATTCTCTACACTTTCATATATATATATATATATATATATGATTAAGAGTCCACACTAAATATGAAACTTCCTATAAATCTTACATATATCTCAAAACCAAAAGATATCCAATAGTCCTAATCATTTTGGATTTCTATTTCTTTTAAGAAACTTAATAATATCAATCTCAATCTTAATCCCACATAATATGTGAATATTTCAACCATACATAATATAAGAATATCTCAATCCCACAAAATATGAAAATATTTCAATCCTACATAATATAGGATTTTCTAATGTGTGTGATTTTGGATAGCAACAAATCTAACAATAACTATAGGGACAAAATATGCTGAGGCCTTCAACAAATCAATGAAAAAGAACGGGCATAATTGTGAATAGAAAATCTAGAAGATTCAGTAAAATTTTGGAAATCAGCTCTCGACTCCAATATACACATGCATACTTCCAAGCATGCATACACATGAATGATTGTATGCATGAAGGGATTACGTTCACTTCCACAGTGTGTATATGTATGTGCATGTGTGTGTGTTTGCTCTCAGCTAACATAATACATATGAGCATGTAGAACCATCTTTCCCAATTCTTAATCTGATTGATGTTCAGTCCGGAATTTGAAATTTTGGTTTCAACCCTTCTCCAAAAATCCAAAAATACGTCAAATTCAGGTCTATGGTAAAAAACTTATCGCAAAGGATACAAACACCAAAAGAAATCAACACCCGACTCTCCTAATTCACATCAATCAAACAGCTAGAACTGGTCTCGCATTCATTGGGTGTCATACGATTCCATAGAAGGCCTGTTTTCTTATTTGAGAAAAGATGCTATTGAATCTCAACTGCACTACTTTGAGAAAGAGAGTATAAATCAGAAAAGTAAATCATAAAAACCCAAATGAAATAATAATCATAAAAATCCAAATGATATAACATTAAGTTACACGAGCAATACAAAGTATTGTACATTCTTTAGTAACCGGACACCTAGATCACAATTCAGTAATAAATAAGCCAGGTAAGCCTCATCATCACAAATCAGGCAAGTGATCTAAAACATGGCTCCACAAGGTGAGGGCGTACTCTAATCCAGCACTGAAATATCAGTTCATTCCTAACTTTCTAATGTCAAAGTCTACAAGTCAGTCTCAAGTTCAGAAAAACTAAAACGATTATGATTTCCGAAATCCAATTGTTTCTCTCACTAATAAATTATTCTCCAGTCAATGAAACATTGATAGCACTCCAATGGTTTCTCTCGCCAATATATTATTCTCCTTGCAAGGAAGCATTGATATCTGTTGAATGCCTTGAATCAGTTACAGGGTTTAAAGAAGACCATCCATCACCCTGATAGGGTGCCGTAGCAGTGGAATTCGGCTGAGGGGCAGCCTGAGTTCGGGTTCCATAAGTCTCACCCACGGCTGCACTAGATATTGGTACTGCAGCCGTTGGTTCACCTGAACTACCCATTTGGGGAAGCCCCAAGATAACTGGGGGTTTCGGTTTCTTATTCTTCTGCTCTGTAGGCAAAAAGCTCCCTACAACAATCTGAGAGAGCAAAATTGTTACTAGTGTAACCCTTCAAGGACTATTACATGCATAAAGTAACCAGATGTTTATATACTGGCCTAAGTGAAGCAAAAAATACGAGTATAACACATTGGACTATGGAAAACCATAATCCATTACAATCATCACCAGCAGATTAAAGATGGCAATTGTGAGAGTGGAACTCCGATAGGGGTCATATATTGTTCACGACAGTTATTCCCCTCAGATTAACAATGGTGATTGAGAGAAAGACGGACCCATATTTGGGTCATATCATGTTGTGGCGGGTCCCTCTATCTCTTGTTCCTCATCCATCATTTCATTAAACAGTGATGACGCATTGACTGTGGTTTCCCTCAGTCAATTGGATTACAGTATTCTTTCCCAAATACTCAAAAAAGAAAAAAAGAAGGAAAACCAAAAGGCATTCAAATAAAGACACGGTTAGCATGCGGCCAAGGGCCTCTAAATAAATTTATTTTTGAAATAGATTTCGATCCTAATGTTTAGAGAATATATAATCTTTAACATGGAGATCATGAATATGAAAAAATAAATAAAATTTGAAAACTAGGATTATTAATTCTACTAAGAAAACAAGATGGATGCTTTATACCTCTGGACCACATATTGTATAAATGCTGTCCAGTCCGCATGAAACAATTGTTCTTCGAATAATATGAGAAAATTAAATAGGTCAGTTTATAAAATATGGCAAGTCATAATTAGGAAATATATTTGCCTGGAGCTCTTAGATTTTAATCCAAGGTTGCGGGTCAAATTCCATGCATATTATTAAGATAAAAAGAAAAAATTAATTTCTTTTTTTATTTGACAACTATATCTTTTTTTGCATGGTGACTGTTGAGTTCTGATGTGAGTTCTGATGTTTATTGAGATTCCACCTTACCTGCACTGGGCTAGCAGCCAATAGTAGACCGGCTACACCTCCCCCAATAACTCGACCATCAGGACTTGCTAAAGATACACTGAGACCACCAGTTCGACTCCTAGTTCCCCCAAACTCTGAGAGCATGAAAGATCCAGACAAGGAAAGTATTTCAAAGCGACCCTACAGGAAAAACCATATAGTGGGATTTATTACCTCTTAACCACCAAAAGAAGGTAAAGCAAAGAAATAAATACATATATAGATACATGTAAGGGTATAAATGCATACACATAAATGTATATGAATGTGTGTATATACATACAGATGTATACACATAGACATACATATACATGCACAACAGACATACTCATGCATACAAACATATACATCAAGAGAGAGGGAGAGAATGACACGGAGAGTGGGAGACCAACATGCAGTAAAGCAACATAAGCTCAGTGTAAGCTACAAAAACTTAAATCCAAGTAAGAGTATTGACATGACAAGAACACATATTTTATTAAGAAACATAACTGAATAACACACCTCATATGTCAAAGTACCACCAGAAGAATCAGGTTGACGAAGTGTAACATTGGAAACGGCACCATTTGCTGAAAGAATGCAAATAGCTCTAGGACCTTGTTGAGAAATCGACATTATCTTCATTGTAATATCCTACACATAACAAAGCATAATGTCTTTTATGATATAATTTAGGTGTGAATGCTTATGGCAGCCTTCTCATTAGTAAATTGACAGATTAATTTAAGAGGCAGAATGGCGGACTAGGATTCGTGTAGCCGACCCCAGTTAGTTGGGAAAAGGCTATGATGATAATAATGACAGATTAATTTAATAACATTTATGAAAAATTGAAGGCGAGTCTATGGCCAACCAGAGGTTTGGCTGGAACCATGTGAACACAAAACCAAAATATTGGTAGTTCACATATGGGTTTATATCAAATTTGACAAAATGGGGTGTTATGAAAATTGATATATCAAACAACTGTAATATCAGTTAAATAAGATGCATTTATGAGATAAAGGAGGTTAGATTAAGGAATAAGATACCTCCCCTGCAGCAATTGTTATGACATGAGGAGTGAATCCAGCCCCAGCAGAATTTGTAACCCACTCACCTTCAAGAATACACCAAACAATAATCAGAAGACGTGAAATCCAAGAGGTTTAGTAAATGTTTGAATAATATCCAAATCTATATGTAGAGGAAGGCTATCTTACAAGTAAGATCTTGTATAGTTTGTTCAGGAACATATATATTAACAGAAAAAGGGAATATCAGAAACTTGCTGGTTGCTGCTTGAATTGGATTTTTTGAGCATATATATCAAATATGTTACAAAAGTGTCTAGTAGAGTATAACTAAATGGAAAACATTGGTGACAGTACTGAAAAAACTGAAGTGCAATTTTTAAAGGAACAGATTAACAAGGGAGGCTTGTGAGCTTAAGTCTACTATCACGCTCATATCCTGCCAAAATATTCATTTTCCCCGCAATGAGAACTAGATCTATGTAATAAATAGTCCAATATGAAGAGTCAATAGAATATGTTGGAAGACAATCAGCAAGCAACCCTAATTTGTAGTATATGGGAACTCTCCAAATGTATAAAACTACCTGGGTGTTTAGCAAGCTTGAACAGATGCATACAAGCAACCACATTAAAACCCACCCACCCACCCACCCACACCAACGCATGCACCTGAACACATGAGCGAGCATGGACACAGACACACACACAGAGGGAGGGAAGGAGACAGATGTGTGTGTGTGTGTGCATGTATGTATGATTACAGGATCTTCAACTAGATGTGACTAAATCTCCAGATGGGTTTTGAATCAACTATAAACAATCTAGTAATCATGAACCAGATGAGGATGATCAAGCAGAATAGAGAAACATGTTCCTGGTGTTTCTATCTTCTTTTCATCATTTTATTTACAAGATACAGGATGCCTTTTAAAGCCACATCATGGATTTGGTTGGCTTATTTTACCAGCTTTCTAATTGAAGTCGAACTGTGTAAAAGATATAGACATGCATGAAATCTTCAGATCCAACCTTGTAAATCAAGAAAATTAAAAAATCAAAGAATCCAAACCGGTCTTGCCAAGTGGTCAAAAGCAAGTAAACAAAACATGCAGAGCAGAGTTTTGGTTAATCCCAGTTTCTAAGACAATTCCTTCATTAAGGTTAAGATATTTTCCTACTTTTAATCAGTAACCTGTGGTATGGATTCAAATGAAGCTTTGGTATCATTAATAAACAAGCCTAAATTGGAGGAGTCCGTAGTTGGAAGAAAATGAAAGGTTGCCTTTGCACAGCTTTAAGAGAGCTTAAGTGGCATATTTTTTTGAGCTTCTAATATCCTGTGAATCCAAATGTTAGAATCGGATAACCTACAGAGTTTGCAAACCAAAAAAAAAGTCATCCTTTGGTAGTTACCCTCTGGCCATACCAAAATTAGACCCAACAGGACATGAGAAAGTGATGGAAAGTTAGGAGTATTACATTATTTGCTAGCACATGGTCAAAGTAGTCAATAGTCACTTGGGTTCCCAGGTGAGCACTCCAAAGCAGTCAGGAACTGCCTCGAGAAAGACGAGGTCATGCCAAACTTCTAAGACAAATAAAGTGTCGGGGCAATGTAAACAGTGGTGCATAACAATGACGTGTGTCATACGTCACATATGTCAGCAACGTCAGACATAGCAGCGCAAAAAATTGCCAATATCTCAACATGTTGCACAATAAAATTATTGCAATGTTTAAATAGAAACATATGCAATAATATCATTAAAAAATAGGGTGTGTTTTAGTTGTCCCACAGGCTGCATCACATGGTCACAACCCAAACATGGTTAGAGGGTTTTATTTAATCTAATCTATAATTTTCATATAACTTTTAGCAACTCCTAAGATCAATTCCATTAAAGAGAGAAAAAAGGAAACAGATATTGAACTCAAAAAATGCGTCAAATCAAATCCCCTGAAAGACAGACTCTGAAGCGTCCATTTGATGGATGACACATCCAGGGTCTTGAAAACTCAAAAAATTTTACTTTTTTGGAATTGTTCCAACATGGATTAAAGATGTTTTGAAATTTTCAGATCAGAGAAATCCCTTAAACTTTAGTTTTGGGGGACAAATTACCTATTTGATCTTTTTCCTTATAGATTACCATAATAATTTTTTGTAATAATGTTGCTTTTGTCATTGTTGTTATAAATTTATATATTATATTTTCATTATCAGCTCAATAAAGAAAATTATATTCTTATAAAATATACAATATATAGCAAGGAGGCTAGTTTCCAAACTCGTATTTTTAGTACCGGCACCCATCTGTAAAATATAGACCTTTCATAGTTTTACACAAGGCTTTAAAAAACAGATCGGTGGCCCAGATCGGCCACCCCAAAAACCGTGTCGGATCAGTGGAGTGGCGATCTGGATCGGAGAATCTGACGGAACGGCAAGATCCGGCATTAAACAAATGTCAAAAAGTCACTATAATTTCTTAAAAATCTAGATTTTTAAGTTTTCAACAAAAAAAAAATGGTATTGCATTGTAATCTTTTATTATTTTTCTAAAAACACATATATACTGGGAACCTATCTCATGTCTGAGTGTTTGTTATCCATTACATCCATTTTATAGTCAAAATAAGATTTAAAATGCAACTCATTGAAATAAAATGATCTCTATGACTCAAATTTTTATAGTGACAAAAAAAATTCCTACAATAATTTTGGACCTTTTGAGTTCCTAGAGAGAAAAAAAGATATCACCCTCACAATGAGCTATGTATTTTCATTAAACCAAAATGACAATAATGAAAAAAACTACGATCCTCCATTTCGACTTTCTAACCACCACATGCTTTCGCTATTCTAAAGGTTTTTTTTTTTTACAAATTGTTTTTTTTTTTTTACAATTTATTTCTTTTAAATGTCCACATGCAATACCACTATTCAACACCCCAAAAATTTATTTGTTTCATGCAATAGCGTTAAATGTTCCAAGCAAAGTCATTTCATGAAGTAGAGTGAAGCACTATTACTATTTAATGCCCCAACATTTATTCGTTTCCTAAATGTCTCAAGCAAAGTATTTTATGCGGCTCAAAATTTATCCGTTTCCTAAATGTCCCAAGCAAAATATTTCATGCGACTCAAAATTTATCCGTTTCCTAAATGTCCCAAGCAAAATATTTCATGCGACTCAAAATTTATCCGTTTCCTAAATGTCCCAAGCAAAATATTTCATGCAGTAGAGTGAAGACGCCCGAAAAAATCCCTGCATCGGGCATTTAAAGAAGCAAAGTCCTTTATAAAAAGCTTAGCCACCCATAGTAGTGTACCGGCATTAGTCACATATGTGGCCTCATGCTGACCTATGCTTACGCAGGTGTGGAAAATGATTGACTAATGAGTTGTGGTGACTTTGAAGAAGCAATAAATTATGGGGTGGGCCACTGCCCACTTTTCAAACAAAATTTAAAAAATTAACAGCTATAAAAAAAATTAAAAAATGGTGAGTAATATAGGGCGGTTGTTTCAGGCCAGTTCAGTTATGACAGATCTGATTGATTACTGACAGAATTGACCAGTTTTGTCAGTGAGCAGGTCGTTCATGGGGACCCGACTGGTTCCCGACATATGATGGGAACCGGACCGGCTTAGAAAATTTTCGATCCGGATCGGGTGATTTTGATCCAGATCGCCGAATTATCAAACCTTGGTTTTACATGATGTAGCTTGGATTGTATATATGGATAGGGTTACCAAAAAAAAATGGGAACAAAAACTACTCATCTAATGTTTATATGTCAATGAGTTATAAACTTTATATGCTATACCATGAACTCTTTATGCTACATGGTAAATCTTTGTTTATTTTAAGCAACACCTCAAACATAAGAAGATATAAATAGGACAACAAGGCAAAATGATATGTAATTGCCTCTAAGATAATTCAATGAATTTATAATAATATGAATTACTAAAGTTATATAAATCAGATTTAACATTAACAGTCGTCTTGAGGTGGCAAAAAATGTCACACATGTTTGAGATACTGACACAATGAGACAAATAATGGGTAGGGTCGAGTTAATGCACAATGACAACAATGATAGGAAATGCCAAAGGAATGTGTAATATCTAACAAAAATTATGGAACCTCTGTAGGATTGACATGATTTTCTCAATTTTTGTCACAATCATCTCATGCTCAGCAATGGTGGATCTAGCAAATTGACCCAAGGGAGGATAGAGTACTAGAAAGTAAGTCCTTAATCAGCGGGTAAGAAACAGATAAATCATGTGAAAGGTGACCTGAAGGTTGCACAGGAATGATTTGGTGTATTTGTTGAGTTACACAATGGTCCCTTTGCAGTGGATCATGCCTTTCTTGACCTAGTCCCTGCACATTTGCAGGAATCAAATTATTGAGTATGTGATTGGCAAGATATTCTTGTTTTAAACACACGAATTTCTTGAACTTTAACGTCTACAACCGTGTGAGCAGCCTGATTGCTTTGTCGAGCAGCTTGAAGTACTTGTGATATTCGTATTCGCCTTTGTCTTGCTCTGTCATGATCAAAGGTTGTTGGAGTAGAATTTTTCAAGGCTTTCGTAGCTGCAGGGATGATATAATTGTTCTAATCACTATTTTGAAAGGTTCAGACCGTAAGGGGTAGACATACAACAAACTAGAAAGAACTTACAACAGATTGCATCAACTTCCACAGGACAGCTCCCTACATAGGATTTTGGCAAGACACCATCCTTCAGTATCCCTTTTGTTGTGGCACAAGAAGCGCCATTTAATTGCCAAATTTCTAGATGAGAAGTATAGGAATTCCATTAGTATAAGAAACTTCTTTGGTTGCAAATGCTAGAAGTGTAAGAAATTTAGGATTAACCACCTGACAGTCGTCTTGTATCTGCATGATTTTCTAGTCGGCTAGTGCAACAATCATCTTCTAGATTCTCACCCATATCATGCAAATCCATGTGCTCAGAAATGGTCGATGAAGCAGATTCATCTGAAGAACTTCTAGCTGAATAATGACAAAATATCATTATATGGAAATGTCCAAACAGGAAAGGTAAGAAAAGACTAAAGGTATAATGAATGTACTATTCCAACCTGAAAATTCAAATGGTGAACCAAATGGTTGCAACAGATTGACATAAGACCCACTTTGCATGTGAATTGGTCTTTCTCGAACAACTTGTACAACTACTTCTCTTGGACTTGTACAAGATTCTTTTGGTAAATGTGAGAATGTTTCTTGGGTTGATACAGATACTATATTTGGAATGGTTAGGTAATTATCTCGCGCATACCGACGTTGTCGCATTAATAGTATTCGCCTATGTCTTGCAGCCTTGCAAACAAGAGTTGTGTATGTAGAGCATTGTAAGAGTGGGGGAGCTGCAGATTGACGGAGAGTTACATTCTAATTGGATCTTTTAATGCCCTTATGACAAATAAAAATAATGAGCTCAGTTGCGTATTATTTCAAGATTCTCAAGAAGTCCCACTACCTACTGATAACAATGCTCTGTAGACTATAGAACATTGCTGAATGTCTCATAGCGAAGTGGATTGTAGAGTAGATATAGTGACTTCACAATCATACTCGATGCCATTAATGATTGAATGAAGGACAAGAAATAAAAGGGTGCATAAATGGACATTGAAGGTTGTCAACATTTAAATGGAATTAGGAGAAGGATCTAGATTTCATCATCCCCAATTAATTGGGAAAAGGCTAAAACGATGATGATATAGATTTCATTGTCAGAAACTTCTCCAATATGAGATGGAAGTGGAATAGAATATTCAGAAGTTTGTAAAGCAGATTGTATCATGACCATCTATTGTAAGTCATGACTTAAGATTCAACTTGGCCTGCGTACGACTCAAACTATGTGGCCTGCTAAAGTTATCCATTGAAATCTGTTTAGTTTGCTAAATATTCCTATCTATATCCATGTCCCTCGAACTCAGTCCTTGATTTAAACTCCACCACGAACAAAAATAAGGTCAAAAGTTATGCAAATGTACAAATTAGCATGCATCATATGTTGTGTTTACTCCTTTCAGATGTGTGGCATTTATATAACAAATCAACATATAAAAACTAATAGCCTTATCAATAAGAAAAATGACAATTAAAATACAAAATTATAATGTTTAAGTGCACAAAACCCTTCAGCTAGAAGAAAAATGACAATGAGAATGTACACAAGAGACTCAAAGGCATCTTAGTTATCACCATGCCTATTCCACTACCCAATCTCTGATCGAAAATAGAAGAGTTGAGTGAATCCAAAATCCAAAGGAGGTTCATGGCCAAAGGTAAAGATGCTAGAGTACGAGTTGCTTTGGAATGTACCAGTTGTACTCGAAATGATGTCAATGCTAAGAAGGAATCACTAGGCATTTCCAGATATATTACTGAAAATAATTGATACAATACACCTAGTCGATTGGAACTGAAGAAATTCTGTCCTTATTGTTCGACCCCATAAAATATACTATGGCAATTATAAAAGGAAAACTACAAATTATAATTGAAACCACAAATCAGAAAATACATTCAATACCATGAATAGGAGGCATCACTCCCTCTCTCTCTCTCAGATGTATCTATGGCCATAAACGCTCAAAGTGTCAAACTTGAAGCATTTACTTCAACATGAACCAATTGGATACTACCCCAAAAGGTGGAGGCAGAAGAAAAGTATTGCAAGTACAAAAGTGCATGATCCTAGCACAACTTTACATTAGACACTTACTTAAGAGTTTTGACTTTGTCTTGTATAAATCTAGTATCCTAAACAGAGTGTTCAGACCCAATCAGCTAACCCATAAAACCAGAGGCCACACCATTTGCAAATATCAAGACCTCCCTAATATTTTCCCCCATGCCAAAAAGTAAGATGAATAAATAAGACTTTAACCCCACTAGCAAGTTAGCTTGTGAAGAGCATAGGTTGAAAAGGTGAGAAATAAATCAGGAGAAAGAAAAAAGTGAGAGAAGAAACCTAAAAAAAGTGAGAGAAGAAACCTAAGGGCAAACAAACAAGGCACCTTTCCACACAAGGAGTAAAAAGAAAAAGGGTAAATCAATCCACATCAACAGAAACCCAGAATCATGAACCTAGGATTCTAGACAAATAACACCCACCACAAAAACCAAGAATATGTAAACCCATCATTAAAACTCCATCAAAAATTAAATATCAAAAATTCCTGGACACGGAATAACATAATGGCAACCACTCATTTGTATCCTTAACATTCACATCAACCCTAGAATCCATAAAAAATAAATAAATTTACAGCACAGATCAAAATAGCAAGAAAAGAGAGAAGACGAAAAAAATCGCAAGCTACAGAAATACAATAGAAAGAGAACAAATCAAGGTACAAAAAAATGCAATGAAAAAGAAGAAATCAAGTATATAAAGAAATGGAAAGAAAAGAAAAGGAATTGAGAAAGTACCTAAACCAGTGAGGCGTTGCTTGTTACCAGAACCAGGTGGCCGCCCTCTACCCCGTTTACCAGAGCTTAATGGACTCATAGGACCAGGAGACGAAGAAACAGGCGTTAAAGCAAGAGCCATGGCAGTCCCTGGTCCATACTTTCTCGGCCTTCCTCGCTTCTTCTTCATAACCATACCTGGACTCACCATTGCGCCACTGCTGATCACCGGGTTAGGGTTTTCCGGGGCTTTTCCGGAGGTCTGACTGTAAATTCCGGCGGCCTGAGGAAACTTTCCGGCGACCTCTCCCCCCTCCCCAGAGCTCATCCCTTCTCTCCCTTCCATGCTCAGAAAAACCAGAAAAATTCAAAATAAACAAGAAAAGCTTAGCTTAAACTGAACCTCAAAAGTTGCAGAAACTTGATCGAGCTCTGAAGAAGCAGTTTGAGCTCAAAGAGAGAGGGCTATCCGAGTCCTTTAGTTTCCTCCATTACTGAATAGACCAGGCCCAGCTCCATTTGAAAAGAATTAGAGATTTCGGATCAGATAATTTTCAAGATGATACAGAGTATTCCTCCATAAATCACTCAACCAGCGGTTTTCTTTTACTATGATCACTCAAAAAGCGGTTTTCTCACTGTAAATCACTCGAAGAACGTTCCTTTTAGAAGGGAAAAAAACCTGTTTTTTCAACGAAAGTAAGTCGATAAGTGGTTTTCGCTATGGTTTTTTTTTCTGGTTTTTTTCTTCTTATGGCAGGATTTAGACATGGATTTGAGGTCGAAAAACCATTTCTGGTTTTATTTTCGAAAACCACCTTTGCATAAAAAACCAGTAAAATATAGCAAAATTAAAAAAAGGAAAGCATTAAATTATTATTTATTATTTTTAATGGGGAGATACAAAACCCCAAAAATACGTTTCTGTGAAATATTTTTTAATAGATCTCAGGCGTGGAAATTATAAATTGAAAAAAAGAAAAGAAAAGGAGGGGAAATAATTTCTTATTTGGAATAAAAGAAAAGGAAAAGGTGTTTTTTTTTTCTTTTTAAAAATTAAAAGCTGACAATTTGAACGTTAAAAACCCCGCCTTTTCCCGACCAGTTCGGCGAGCTCCCACTGACCTCTTATTTGTCGTTTCCTAAAAATAAAAATATTTTATTATTAAAGAGTTTTTCTTAGTAGAATAAAAAGAAATAAAAGGGTTTGCACCTAAATTACCTAATTTGCCTTATTTGAGCCCCTGTTTACTATTATTTCCTACTATGCCCACTTGGGACCAAAAATGTTTGGAATACTTGATTTAAGACAACTTTAGTCTCGATCGAAAAATCGAACTGGCCTAGAACCTGCCAAGGGTTGGGTCTGAGTAATTGGTAAATCTGCTAGTTCAATTGGGACAGATCCCGGCCAATTCAAAAAAATATTAAAAAATAAAAATATAAAAAAATTAAAAAAATATGAAATATATATTTAAAACATGATTAAACAAAGCACATCTAAATGAAGTTAAAAATTAGTAGAAAAATATATTTCAAAAATCGATTTGTATCCAAAGGTATTTTCAAAAAATTTCAAAAAAGATAGAAAATTGTACAAATAAGTATTCATGAGCAAAACATTTTCTAATCTTTGTCAAAATGATAAAATTATTAAAAAAATACACATTACAAACCAATCCCTTATTTTTAGGAATTTTACATATTTTTGACCTTTTTTTTAAAATATTTTGCTGGACCACGAAAACTAGATTGACAAGTGCCTGGTTCCATTTTGACTGGCCTGTTCTGAGTTGGACAAGCTGATTTTGCAAACATTAATATAGCGTTTCAATAATCGGATCAACTGGGCAATTTAGCATTCCAGAAATTTGGTCTGGATTGGCGAATGATATCGACACTCTCATGGACTACTTCTCCTTGGAATCAGTCCTAGAAAATTAAATAATAATTTTAATTTTAAAATTAAAAAAATAAGTGGAGTAGAATTGTCTGGTTCTTGACAAACTGGCCCGGTTCTCTTACAGAATTGGACAAGGGCAATTTGAATTGTCAGGTTCCTAACAGACTTCTGGTTCTCTTAAGGCAATTATATGGGAAATAGACTGATTCCAACTTGGACTAAGAAGTGGGTCGGTCCCATAATTAGCAAGTCGGGGAATAATAAAATATCGGTAATGAATGGATTTTATTTCAAAAAATCGGAGGAAAAAATACATATCGTCAAAAAATAAAGTAAGTTATAGAATCATGAATATTTAGGATTTGGTTCAAAAAAGCATAGTGAAAAAATCAAATATGTAAAGATGATACAATATAGGATTATGATTTGCAGCTATTATATAGATATATTAAAGCTATTAAATAATAATTTTATAGCTTTACTAGTGTCATTAGAGTAATACTTAGACAATTTTTTGTTGAAACTTTCGATAACTCCAACAACAATGCTTATTCTGTTATCACAACACAAAACATATGAGCACATCATGGTCAAAAAGTTGCGGTGTAACGATGCTTTCAACACAATTTTTGCAATCATGAGTCACAACTGGGGTAGATCTAAATCAAACCAAGTAACTTTTAAGACGAAAAACAATTTTATCAAAAACAATGGGACTCGTGTGTTTCAGCCATTCAAGGTTTTCAGCCAAGATCGACTACTAGGGCACATCGCAAGGCTGACAAATTTTTTCATGACTAAAATGGTCAAAAAATTAGTTTAAAAACTACCTACTATGGCAATTATAGGCCTTTCAGTCTGAATTTGGCTCATTCCCGCATTCTCGAGTCGAATCGGGTGAATTTTCAAACACCAAATTATCTTTATGCTACACTTTTCCATTGCCAAAGCAACTCAACCCTTACTTATAATACGGCTATAATACGGGTGGCAATAGATCGGGTCGGGTCCAGGTCTGGCTGGACCTGAACCGGAATAGTATTTAGGCCCAAGATTTGAAGCTGGACCAACCCACTGAATCCATTTTTAGACCCATACCAGGACTGAGATCGAATTCAGGACCTTTGCGACCCTAAAGTTGTAGTCATGTCTGTGCTATAACTCCTCATGTCAAATGCCCCTAAAGACCTAAACCAATTAAGAGATACATGGCTGTTACTCTAAATGGGATTTCCATGTTAGTTAATGGTACATACAAGGGGTAGATTTGGAAAGTTCTTATCTAATGGATTGCTTGGCCTTAAGGAATATGGATAAATACCACATCAATATGGATAAATACAACATTTAAAAAAAAATTGCCACCTTTTTATGGGTTGATGTTAAGGTTTGGTGAGCACCTCCTTTTAAAATATTTTTATTGTTCCATGGACTTCATAATTATCTCTTCTTTTTCTTCCCAATTTTTGTTGGGTAGAAGTTATATGGTTTGGTAAACCATAATTAGATTGCAGGGATCAAGGGTAAATAGGTCAAATAGTAGGTGTATGATGGATATAAGGAAAATAGTAAAGAAAAAGGTCAAAAAGTTGGTGAATTATTGATAAAATATAATTTATTTTATTTAGACTTATTCATTAAACTATAATATTGTTTATTTTATATTAATGCCAGCTACTTGCACAAAAGATGCCACTTGCACACAAAAGATAATTCAATTTAATTGAAGTGAAAATTCACTTTAATTTACAAGTTTTTTAGTATTAATTTTCCAAAAAAATCTGACAAATTGCAATAATCGAGACATATTTGATTCTAAAATATTGGATAATTAATTGCCAAAATATTTGATAATGATATTGCATGACTGGAGTCCAGGATTTTGTTGACCGGAGATTAAAAATGCTAATAAGGCACAGGGGCATTTTAGTCATTTCAGGAAAATTACCCTGAGAAGGTTTTTAAAGGGGCAAATTGGCGTTTGACCTGCCGTTAACCACGTCAGCAGACGGGACAGGCATAAGTTAACGATCTCAAAGGGGGCAAATTGGCGTTTGACCTGCCGTTAACCTCGTCAGCAGACGGGACAGGCATAAGTTAACGGTATGAGACGTGTTAGAAATTGATTGGATATTTGGCAATTCGAAGTGGAGATTCTGGCCAATCATCATCAATGATAACGTGACGCACCTTCCTCGTGGAGCTCAAAACGTACGGGACGTAGTACTCGGTTCTGCCACTGATTTCGTCACATCTCGGTGAATTTCGAACGAAATATCGCAGCAGATTTTGATCCACCTGGGCCGTTGATTTACGATGGATGTGAATCTCAATTTCGCAAGTGGCACTTATTGTAAAAATGGCAAGCTTTCTATACTTAATACATTTTTTATCCAATCGGCCATTTTGAATGGAAGACTCAGATAGATAGAGGATCACTGTATTTTTTATTTTTTATTTACAAAATCTTTTGACACCAAAATTTTAGCTTTCACTCTTCTCTTAAACTCGCATTATTAAAAAAAATATGTAAAAAAAATATTCTCAATCAAATAAAATAATCAAAATACTCTAAAAACTTTTAAAGGTACTTTGGTCATTTTATTTTAATATTTTAATATTTGAACACTTCTTTACTTTTGTTTTGTATATAAAGTATTTTTTTAACAAGTGTATTTTTTGTCATTAAGAAGGTACGATGTCATCAACATGGGATGTGACATCACCACATCGAGCATACTAGTGACATTTAATGCTTCATATGGATGACGTCACACTCATATAGATGACGTCACACTCTCTTAATGACAAAAAATATCCTTATTAAAAAAATGTTAAATATATAAAACAATAGTATACAAGTGTCCAAAATTGTTGAGTATAATGATAAATTACTTCATAGTTGTCCAAAATTGTTGAGTACACTGATAAATTATTCTATAGTGTCAGGTCCTAATACAACCCTAATTCTTATTTAATATTAGAAAAAGTTACATAAATTATGTCTTTTTTAAACAATTTAAAATTTTTTTTTTTATATTTTATATTTTTCACTCAAATCCCACTTTTTTGAAAGGATATAGTGTATTTGGTAGAGATACATCTTCCCCGCCAATAATTGTAATTTTGATATTAGTGTATTGGCTTATCAAATCTATTCTTGCTCCTTGACCATGAAACCCAAAACATAAAAATTGGTGTAGATTAGGTGGATATGTGAACATCTAAAACAGACGGTCTAAAGAACAAACTACAAGATAGCTATTTTCAAAAGTTGAGACCCCTTCTTTTCAAAGGCACAATTGTCGAGGTCAAGATGATCAATTTTTTAGATTTTAAGTGCTAAAACTACATTTTAAGAGAGAAATGACGTGCACCTTTATAAAGCCATGACCTTACCAAATACATTTATATATTTTAGAAAGTTTTGAAAGGTTAGTATGAATTGTGTCCTATACTAATATAACACCAATATATAGGATATAGGGCAAGCTTTATATGCTTTCCGTATAGCATAAAAGTTATATCTTCTCCCTTATATAATCGTCCATTCTGAATGGAGGATTAAGATTGCCTCAATCACAATGTCACGTCTCTACACTATTTTATTTTTAATTTTTTTCTGTAAACTATTTTGACACCAAATTTTGGACGTCCATTCGTCTATTAAACTCACACTAGTGAAAAATATAAAAATATATTTTCAATAAAATAAAATGAGTAAAATACCCTTAAAAGATTCAAGAGGTATTTTGGTCATTATATTTTATCAAAAAATTATTTTTAATATATTTTATAAGTGCGCCCCAATGAGAAGATGGCACGTACCAAATTTCATATTCATACAATTTGTATAAAAAAACTAAAATAAAATATTGTAAGACGTCGGATCTAAGATCAAACAGTGAGTGGCTTTCTTGATCAAAATTGGATGGCTGGATAGTAGGGAGAGGATAGAACTTCT